TAGTCATTTGAGGACAGGGTTCTCAATGACCGCGCTAGTTACACTAGGTTGATGATGAAACACGCTCTAGATATTTAGCCAGCTGGAGTACTTCCACCTACTAATCCAGCTAGACAAACTTCACGCGTCCGTTTTGGGATCGTGGAGAGACGTAGGATTACTACCGCAACCACTCTATCACATTTATAGTCTCCCGCGGGAAGCAGATCTACGATCCCTTGATGATGATCTCTCTCGTTGATTAGTTTTCATAGCTTTTATCTCTCTCATAACTTTCATTCTCTCAACTCAAAATACTCGAAAGATCTTTACACTAGCTTTTAGCGTGGTGCATTTTGTTAACAAACACAATAGCTTTCAGCTACCCTCACCTATTCCTTCACCATGAAGATGGCTCAGGAAAGCATGCGTTCGCAACTTCGAGAAACAGTGCGTGACAAACCCATCTTCCTCTCGTCGACAAATGACCATTTGCCAAGCGCAAATCAGAAGACTCTGACAATGAGGACAACTCCTCCATCAATTTCAATCACTTGATGGAGAAATCTCTATCTGAGGATTAGGCCAGGATGATGACTCAACGGAACCATGTTCCGATTTCTCATACCAAAGTGATGAAGATATCTCACTAACTAGTAAACAAGAATTGTTTGCAACTGATGAACACTACGGCAAATTAGATGATTGCCTAGAAGCTGCTCAACATAGACTCTGATGCTAACGTGAGGAAATACTACTTAATAGAGGGATCTGTAGAGTAGCTACCACCCGACGAATCAACTGCAACTATTCAAGACGAGTGCAAGGTAAATCAAAGTTCGCTTCTTAGTAATTCTAATCTGTGTTGTGAGTTTGATTGATGCGATCAGTAACGCTATTTGTAGCGTGTTGGATCAATACATCGTGGTAGTTGTACGGAAGTCAACGTGGTATTGCGGGAAACGTTCGTTGGCAGTATGCTTTACTCCTGTCGAATACTCCAATTTACCGTTGTCCTTTTTGGTTTCGTTGAGAACGTGTTCTTGCCAGCGTCTCTGTTCCATCGTGTTGACTCATAAAAACATGACCCAATCTACTCACGATACTCTGAGTCGTGGGAGAACTGTAACGCTTCACTCCCCTCAGTGGCGACGTCGACTCTGAGTGTTTCTTAACCGCAATCCTTGGATCTCCTGACCAAAACAGCAGTGCATTCAGCATAGGCCATACCGATGTATGTGGTGTTTGCTGAGGATACTGCAGGGTTAGTAGATCCAGGGATATGTGAAATCTCAAGATACTTGCAGCAACGGCTTCCCTAGTACGGTGGAAGGAAAGCGCATTGTGTCTTTTGAGAATCTTTGAGTGTGGCATGAGGCGGTGTTTGACTACCGTCTCGTTGTCCCCGAACATCATGGTCGGTGTGTCGACCAGTACTCCTAGGTACCTGAACTGTGCTCCGTAGGTCGATGATCTGTTCAGTGGCGGTCGGGCTGCAACATACTCAGATCCGAACGTTGCGTCTCGACTTTTGACTGTAGTTTGCTGACCAGTCGATGGGGGTCTTTTTCGCTAGGTGTAGACTCCGTAACTGAACGGCCACTGATGAGATCATGGTAGAGGTCCGCATCCACATATGTGGTGAGAAGGACCCGTTTGCCTCGAGGTACCGGTGCGTTGTGCGGCTGACTTCTTTGGCACCATGGTAGCATGAGTATCCCATTCGTACTCTTTCTTGGGAATCGCTGAGTAATCCGGTCCTCCTTTCGGATACGTATGATGCGTGTCGCATCTTGGAAAGGTCCCGCAGATTCTCTTAACTCGTCTAAGTGACCCATTCTTGTGCTGCCCGAAATCTGGACATGTCATGGTGGCCGTGCGTTATCGAACCTTCCAATCTGGATTGCCCACTGTAGACTACGATGAGTGACTGATATATCTTTTGTGTGTCCATTCGAGTAGCTCTGTTGTGCAGTCTCTGGATGTCTCTTTGATGAGTGGAGATGAAACTTGTTTGGGCATGTGTCCAAGATTCGTTGTTAGTTGCTAGTACCTTCTCAATATATTGCGAGGTGCGTAACTCAGTACTCCGTTCTCATCACGGAAGAAATCACATCCTAGTGGAAGCTGATGGCACCGGTTCCCTTTAGTTTAACTTGTGCTCCCCTTCAATGTCGCGATGATCTTGATGCTGTCTTTGCTGACAATAAGGAGGTCGTCTACGTACACAGCGATGTATTCGTAGTAGCTCCCTTTGTCTCTCATCCAGATGTCTGATTCGGCTTTTGAAGGAAAGAATCCCATCGAACGAAGAACATCTGCAAATCGTTCATGCCATCGTAATCCAGAAGACTTGAGTCCGTATAGGGCACGGCTGATGATGAGGGTGCATCCTTCTCGATCTCCAAATTCGGGTCCTGCGACAACGTATACCTTCTCTTTCGTATATGATTCCAAGTAGGCGTTTCCAATTGTCTGTTGCCCATACCTCACAATCATTGAGTTCTGCGAGGAATGTGAGGATACGAATCCCTCGTAACGAAACCACACTGGAATAGACGGAGTCTACTGGTGTATCATGAGATGTCCTCCAGCGACAAGTCGTGCTTTGTGTCGTCCATCGTGTTTGAGCGTACACCATATGCACTGAATCTTCTTCCAATCTGTCCAGGGTTATGTCCCTTCCTTTGTTGATGAAGGTCCGTACTCATCAATCTGATTAAGCTCGATCACTCGCATCTCTCCATTTGGTATCTTCCATTTCGTGCGTCTAGTCCATGGCTTGGATCATGGTTGATCGCGGAACTTGGAATCTGTACATAGAACACGGGCTTTGGTCCTGAAGTAGTGAAGCTTTGCTTGGTAGCCGCTCGTACGAGTCGTTTTTGAGTCTTTGCGATCCTCTTGAGCCCTGGTAGTGTCCATCCAACGTTCACGAGAGACTCAGTCATGAGTCGAACTCAAACCCTATCTAGGATCGAGTCGCGAATAAGGCTAAGAGCTGTGTATTGCATCTCCTATTCCTCGGTGTATCGTCTTCTAAGTATTTTGCCACGAATGACGTTTCCACAGAGGTCCAGTTTCTGTGCTGGGCAAACAGTCAGCCTCCACTGCAACTTCAGTATACGCATTATGTGCAATATATGCGAGGTTTTGGCAGACAGACACTGGCTCTGTGCCGGTAAACTGATTCCCATTCACCAGCAATCGACGCAGCTCAGTCAGTGCCTCAATCTCATTGGGAATTGTGCTATCAAAATTGTTATTGGATATGTCCAGCTGCTCAAGGTCTGTCAAAAGAACAAGTGATGAACTGATACTCCCAGAAAAGTTGCAATCATTGCCAGAAAATGCAAGAAGGTCTGTGAGTCCAGTGTACATTTCTTCAGGGAGTGTCCCTTGCATGTTTGTAAAGGACACATCAATCTCCTTAAGTGTGCTCAGCAGGGCAATCTCCGAGGGCAAGGTTCCAGAAATATGGGTATGACCCAAATGCAGATTCCCCTTCAAGTTTGTTAGCAGTCCAAATTCACTTGGAAAAGTGCCTGTTAACTTTTTAGGAACCGAAGCAGCAAAGCAGGTCATATTGGCTTGGCTATATCTGCAGATTTGTTAGCAACAATAGAGACCAGCTACTTATCTCATTGTGGCCCAGCCATAATCCCCTGAGGGAGGTTTAGGAAAAGAGTTCAACTGGCAGGGACCCACTCAGTTGATTCCCTTGCAGAAAAACCAGCTCCATCTGAAACAACCCCACTTCAGATGGAATACTTCCGGTCAACCTGTTTTCATGGATTTGAAGACTGGTACTAAGTTTTGCATTTCGATCGTGGAGTTCATACCATCTAGCAGGGATGGGTCCTGAGAGTTGGTTAGTGCCCAAGTGGAGCTGCTCCAACGAAGAAGAGTGCAGCTTTGGTGGCAGCATTCCACTCAGCATGTTGCCATTCAAATGCAGCTGTTTCAGGTGTGGCAACTGTGTAATCTCCCATGGCAGAGGGCCATTGAGCTGATTCCACATTGAAGAACGAATTCTCATTTGTTAGAAATCAACGACACAATCCACACCTGTATACCCCATGATACTTACACATATGTAGACCAACAGCTGCCTTCTCCTTTGTTTGCACAGTCTCACAAATCACTCCACCCCACTGACATTCGTGGCTCTCTGTGAGCCACTGATCACCCCAGATGACCGATGTTGTTTCCCCTGTAAAAAAATCATGCCTATAGCAGAAATTTACTGCTGCACTTCCTTGGGGAGTTGCTGGTGGATTGCACTCCTTCCATCATTGATGCCTTGTGGTTTGGTAATAGAAGAGCACCAATAAAAACCTCTGAACCAAATTCGGAAGAGTCATACTCTAGCTGCAGAGGGTCTTGATTGACAATCCAATCAAAGGCTTTGTGCCTTGATTCCAGCATGAACTCTAGGATTTTACTATTATTTCCTTCTCCAGATTCTTCCACCTGTTGGAAGTATTCCTTCCCCAAAAAGGCTGCTAAGGTAACTTCAATCTTGGGTGCCTCAACAGCATCTCTTGTTGTGGTAGGTGCCATGGTACTGCTTCCGTCCACATAGACTTTAGAACTGCAGTGTCCGGTACCACAAACATCCCCCACAATGAAGGCAACAGCAACCAAAAGGATGCAAATCCCTCCCATGAGATAGAAAGGCCAGTTGCTTTGCTGTCGTCCCTTCCTATTGCCATCCTCAGCTGTCGCAATGGGTAGGTCATCATCTGTAACGCCAACTGGCCTTGCCTCTGCAAGTGACTCTTGTGGAGGTGGTTGTGTGTTTCCATCATCAGCAACCGCCAAGTTGAAGTTTGGCTGTTGCTGTAAACTTTCTGTTGCCGGAGTATCACTTAGTCCAGAGATTAGATTCTCATGACTTGGTTGTTGGGTGGATTGGAATGATTGGACAGCGTAAGCTCCTGCCACACTTTCTTGCACAGCAGTATCAGTGAACCTAGAGAGGGATGGCATATTCATGGGCATTGTGATTTCTTGAATCCAAGGTGATGGTGTGGAAGTTGCAACCTCATTGACAACCCACGGCATTTCCTTGGCAGGGAACGTTGAATCAACACTCTTGATGTTAGGGATGCTAGGTGTTTCACGCTGATTCCTGGCCATTTCATCTTCTCTATGCTCCTTTTGAATTGTTGGATCAATGCCAGCGTCTCCATTTGATTCAAATAAAATTTGTCGAACTGAGTATATTTGGATGTTTTTGCTTGTTTAAATTTCCAAGCTTGCCATGGATGAGACATCCATTGATTCCTCCTTCATTGTGCCTTTTTCTTGTTCCTCGAGGATTCTAATTCCGTCCACACTTAGGTCGCTTTTTCTGAAACTCTTGTTATCAGCAGGTTCTTGGGATGATTCCTCCAGAAGTGGTGGCAAAACTGAAACTGAATGTGTCATTGCTGGCTTTGTTTGCTGAGCAACTGGCTGAAAGTTGGGATCCTCTACGTCATTTCTGTCGTGAAAATTCGGCCAAATAGCTCAGCATCATGGTAGTGTCGCATGGTATCAGAAGAAGTACAGCTCGTGTTTTCGGGTCTCTGGACGGGGATAAAACTAGGTGGATTTGTGACCGAGTCCCCATTTTGCAGTGGTTGTTGATGAGTGCTACTGGGCAGCACTCCACCACGCTCAGCTCCATTAGTTGGAAGCCGTGGTGCAGTTCACGGCGCACTGATGGCAATACCTCATGCAACAGCATAAGGCATCTTATTGTTGCGATGGCGAAGATGAGGAGTGAGAATTGAGCCTCAGTTTCTTGCCCTAAATTTCTTGTTTCTCGCTGGGTTCCTTACCATAGATGATACTAGATACCTAGTACTCAGTAACTAGCTAGCAGCTAGTAAGAGCTCTTTCCTGCGAAAGCTCTGAATTTTGTCACAACGACTTCACTGAGTCACTTTTTGCTGTTCGACGAACATTGTCGATCCTGTCCGAACAGTCCGAACGTCTGAACAGTCCGAAACAGGACGCGGTAAAGAAGAGCACAGAGCTCAGAACTCAGACAGAAGGCAAACTGGCAGTGGCTCTGATGCACTCGACGGTGCTGTCACTCGGTCGTCTTGCTACCACCCGAACAACCAAGAGCCTTGGTCAAGACCAAGAGCCTCCAGATTCATGCACGGAACACCATGGATTTCTTCCTGTCCGTGGTCAGTGGTTGGTGGAAGTTCCGTGGAACACCAAAAAAACCGCATGCCAGCTTTTGAATCCAATCTTTCTCGGGCATGCCTGACCCAGCAGCATAAAACACCATCACATCAAAAACAAGCCACCATCCCTCATTTTTTCTTGTCACACCTTAGTCCTCTAAAATAGATGTACTTTGTCTCTCTCATAGTTACATTCAAAAGGTGCTCCCCGTACCTACTTTGTCAATATTTGCATGCCCGTCGCAGCGGTTTAATCTAGAAGTTAATTTTGTGACTGTGTAATTACTCAGGAGCTAGCAAACTGGAGGAGTCCATTTTCTCCTCTTTTTGGATGCTTCCTCCATAAGAGGCCGTTGTGGAAGCATTCTCTCAAGTCAAAGCCAACTCTACATCCCACAGTGTCAACACTAATGAAATGAAACAAAGAGCAGCTGGTGGAGTTGGTCGCGATAGCCGATCGCTACTATTATGACATCATGACTCGACTAAGTCAATTGCACGTAGCTGCTATTGAAGGTGCATATTCGAAAGCCATCCCTCATTTGTTTGTATGGACCATGGGATGGTAGTGAATTCTGTACCATTAACAGGTTGGTTTGACGAGCCGAATGGACGAGTCAAGTTGATCGGTCGCTCCTCTACTGTACCAATGAGCAAGCCTCAGTCAAACCGAGTACCATGGGATGAACCAGACAGCGAAGCACAACACCCAACATGAAGAGGATTTTATTTCAAGCAGTGTCAGAGAAAGAGGACATCTTATCGGAGCCAAACACTCGGTCGCACCGTCTCCGGTGCAGAATGGAAAGCCATCCTCATGGCTTTCATTTCTCGGCCTGTGACGGTCAAGTTGTTGGTGACCGTCGACCTACTTCCATCTTCCATGTTTAGATAATACATTATCTTATAGTTATGTTGTTGTGATGTTATGCTACATGTAGTACTAAAAACAAAAACTGAACGTCTAATAACGGATTCAGACGAGATGTGCTTGAGGACTACCCACGAGCTAAGGCTCGGGTATTTCCCACAGTCAAGTCTGCTCACCGGCCACACTGGCCTCCTGAGAGGGTGCGACGCCTGTTAGCTATCTAAGGATTTGTACACTGAGGTCGGAGCCATGATTCACCACAAATCACGAGCTCTTTGTTGAAGAGAGTTGGGGTTGGTAAAGAAGTTTGAGGGGTAGGAGGGGTAAGGAAAAAGGATGGTAGGAATGTCCGACTATCTGTTTCCAGGGCTGTGGTTGTAGTGACTCTCTTGTAACCAGGTTCCCATGTGTTCAAAATTGAATGATGACTGGTGTATTCAGTTGCATGCGCGATTCGAGGTCTTGGTATTTGGAATAGCCATTCCAAATGTTCGGGGACTTCTTGCTGGTATGCTTCGTAGAACTGAGTGAGTTGTCGGATTGCTTGTGCTTTCTTTGCTTGTGACTTGGTTCTCATGTCGTGCCATGTCTGTCTTGGTTGCGCATGTCCCAGAGTTTCCACCATTCTTTATAGATAATGTCAATGAGTCCAGTGAGCCATGTGAGTCCATTGTTGCGTTTGGTTGCGGTCTTTTTCATGTTCAAATATCGGTCTTGTTCCTGACTGAATTGTTTAGAGATTCTCCCCTTTAACAGATGATGCCATCCAATGGTGTGCTTGTTTTGTGCCTTCTGGTGTGGGATTGCTTGTGTGAAGGCATCGTTTCTGTGTCG